CATAGTGAGTGCTCTGCTTAGGCAGAAAAGGGTTTCAGAAAAGTGAAATGACCTACCTGTCCTGACTCGAAGGCAGTGTTCACAGAAATCTAAGGAGAGAAACGAGTGGAAGTGGCAAGAGAAGAAGCTGGAGGTAAGCAGGATCCAGATCTCATGGGCAAGGAACAGAGTACCACTTAATTGTTTTAAGCAGAGGACTGCCAGGATTTACTCTGGTAGTGACAAAACAGACTGGAAGAAGGCAATAACAAATAGCAGATACTCAGTTGAGAAATAATGGTAGTGGGAATGGAGTGGGAGTCAGATATTTAAGACCCAGAATTTTTTGGAAGTTTTTTCTAGAATGGATGTGGAATGAACATGAAAAGGGGAAAAGTTAGGGATGATATCCTCCAAGTTTCTGGCTAGAAAAATTAGTTAGATGATGCACACTAATTGATAAGGGCTGTTCTCAGGAAACACAGGTGTCTGGGTGTGAAATAATCAAGTGAAGATTCACTTTAAATGTAAGGGTTCTTGAGAGGTCTGGGCTACAGACAAGAAATTAGGGAGCCATCAGTATATAAGTACTAGAGGGCAAGCAAGCATCCAGTGATGATACGGAGCATAAGAATGTCTATGATAGAACCATGAAGGTCAACAAATGGAAGAGGCAGAGAAAAGAGCCTGGAAAGGAGACTGAGTAAAATCAGCAGGAGGTACCAGGAAGTTTAAAAAAGAAGGATGGATGGACAAAAGGAAGGAAGAAAAGCAGGCAGGCAGGCAGACAATCAGGAGAATGCTCAAAAGCTACAGGAAAAGCCGTAAAATTAAAAGACTAAAATATTGCCAAGAATAATTTAAGATGAAGATAGAAAGGTGAAGTTCACAGAACTGAATTATATAGGCTTATCATTGGTGACCCTGATTTTAAAAAAAATACCTAGAAACAGATCATTTTGAGGGAGAGAATTATTTAGAAGATGACTGATAACTGCAGGTTACTCAGTCTTTGATTCCATTAAAATGTTTAGACACATTTCTCCCTCCCCATTATAGAGGGCCTAAATCAGTGGTTCCTAACCATCCATGTGCCATAATTCACCCCATGTAACATTTAAAAAACTTGAACACTAGAATAACTATTTATCATCAGACTAAAAAACAATTGGATAAAAAGTTACTATAAAGTCAATAATGCTTTTAAATAAATGCACATTAAAAAAAAAAATCACAGGTTTAAAAAAAGAAGTATCTAAAACATTTGTGCAGTCAGGATACCAGGCTTGGTGTGTATGTGGGTATGGTGGTCTCCTGTGATAATTCAGGTCCAGAGATTGAGAAGCCCTACAGATAAGATGATCTTCAAAGAACTTTCTGACTTTTTTTTAGATATATCTTCATTGATTTCAGAGAGAGGAAGGGAGAGGGAGAGAGAGACAGAAACATCAATGATGAGAGAGTCACTGATTGGCTGCCTCCTGCACGCCCCCAACTGAGGACTGAGCCCGCAACCCAGGCATGTGCCCTCACCAGGAATGGAACCCCGATCGCCTGGATCCTAGGTTGATGCTCAACTGCTGAGCCACGCCTGGCCAGGCAAAGAACTTTCTAACTTTGAGAATCTGTAATTCTTCAAGCTTTTTTTTAATTACTAAATCAATGGTGCATTATGGCAGGTTTTATAATGGCCCAAAATGGAATAAGTCAATACTTTAAGTACAGCAGTCCTTCCTTATCCATGGTTTCCCTCTCCAAGGTTTCAGTTACCTGAATGGGAAAATTTTCCATCACCGACATAGTCTACTCCTGACATCCAACCACTGACATGGTCATGGCTCGATGAGCCAGGATCACCCAAAGCAAACCCTCCTCCTTCTGATGTATGGTCAGGTCAGTAGTAGCCTAATGCTACGTCATAATATCTATACCATTCACCTAACTTCATCTCACTATGCACTTTATCATCTCACGTGATAACAAAAACGTAAGTACAGTATAATAAGATATGTGAGAGGTTCTCACCACGTTCGCATAAATTTTACTACAGTATATTATTATAATTGTTCTATTTTATTATTAGCTATCATTGTTAATCTCTTACTGTGCCTAATTTATACATTAAACTTTATCATAAGTATGTACGTAAAAGAAAACACATAGTATGGACGGTTCCTGACTTAACAATGGTTGAGCCCGATTTTTTAACTTTACAAAGGTGTGAAAACAATACGCATTCAGTAGGAACTGTACTTCAAATTTAAATTTTGATCTTTTCCTACCTGGGCTAGCGATATGTGGCAAGACACTCTTTTGTGCTACTGGGCAGTAGCAGTGAGCTGCAGTAACCCAGTCAGCTACACATCACGAGAGTAAGCTGATACTCTAGAGCATACCACTAAATGCATTTCTGACTTACAATATTTTCAACTTATGATAGGTGTATATATAGATGTAAATCCATCATTAAGTCGAGGGATATCTGTAAATATAGTATTTGGTACAATCTGCAATTTCAGGCATCCACTCAGGGTCTTGGAACATATCCTTTGTGGATGAGGGCAGACTACTGTACCTCAATCTTGTATGCTGTTAACTGTGATTAGGTGCCTTTCTTTAGTGAAATTCTAAAATCTCCATTAATTAAACAAAATATAAATTTCTGCCCTTTCATTGTAAGTGTTTGCTATCCCATAAAAAAAAGGTAATTGGATCTAGTCTACACTGTACATGAAAATCTGAAACCCAAGAGAGATAAGCCCAGGATTTTTATCAGTTCATTTTACATATAGGCAAACATAAGTCCAAAGACAAAAACCACTGATTTTCCATATTATTCATATATTGATCCCTGAACTGGCAATATTTGTCCATTTCTTCATTCCCTTAAAAACTACTGAAGTTAGGGCATCAGGATTCTGCCAGTTTTTCCATTAGTTGAAACAAATGCTCCCTTAATTACAAAACCCACTGAGGTGGTCAATTTAATGATGCTCTTCAAATACAAAGGAGCAATTTCTCCAACCACAGATAGTAAATTACAATTAGGGCCAGTTATATTTAGATAGCCTAATAATAACTCTAAGAACTATAGGACCACTATTTATTTGTCACAAATAGTTAAAATACAAATTTCTATTAAAAAATGAAATAGGCATCTCTCTCACATCAACGTTTCTCTCCCTACCTCTCTTAGGGGGAAAAAAAAAATCAATAAACATATCCTCTGGTGAGGTTGAAAAAAAATTTTAAAATGATATAGACATTCTTATTGTTGCTTTACTAAAGAATCATCTAGTAACTCAAAGCAAGATCATAGGTACAAGCCCACAAATTCCACAAGGTGTACAACAGTATGTGTGTTTTATTTTGGATAAAAATTAATAAATTATTTTAAAGCAGTTCAAGTTACACAAAGAAGTTAATCTTAAGGTCTCATTTTTAATGGCAGTCAGGTGAAGAAAAAATTGTTCTGATACACCTACACCACCATAAAATTTAAAAATCATCAGTGTTGACCCAGACAATGCTGAAAAGGAGTTTGCTAGATTCTATCAAATATCAAATGGGTGAGGTGGGGTTGTATTTGAAAATGCAATGAAATGTCAAAACCTAATTTCATGTATAGAAACTATATTTATTTTTGGTGACTGTTATAGAACTGAGAGCTTTTATGTATTTTTCATTCATCTACTATTCTGTGATTAAAATTAAATTTAAAAATGAACTAGGAAATGACCAGAGAATTTCAGACACCTGAAAATGACAGGAGACAAGTGATGACTAATTCAAAGAATCCCCTAATTACCTCTCATTAGCAGCACTCAGAATCACCATTTAGGGCTGCAAGAAATGTAAGAGATCTAACTTTTAATCCTCTTATTCTGCAGAATGACACTAAACCAGATATATAAAATGACTTTCTCAAGGTAACTATGCTGGAGAGTCCAACATAAAGCACACATCTCCTAGTTCTCACAGTCCATGTGTTCTTCCACCACCATACTGTTGTGCATCTTTTCTATGTTTTACTCTCCTACTGGAAAAACTATCTGGCTCTCTCGTGGCCTAGGAGGACAGACTGATAATAAGCACTAAACTATGGTAGTTCATTCCCACATCAAAACTTCTTTTAAAGTTAATTTGACTACTTTGTAAAACATGTCTTGAACATGAACAGTATAATGTGGAAATGACTTGTAAATGAATATAAAAAGGAGTTATTTGACCAAAGGTTTCTCTGACCTCTGATTTATTCTTTAACTACCATTGTATAATCCCAGACTCAGATAAAGCCCTCCACCCCACCCCACCCTCGTGTTAAATGCAGCCTGGCCAATTCCCCGAACAGCTGTTGGATACCAAAAGGATTTAATAGTTCAACAAAACCACACAAAGCAGTTCACTGACTGGATGCTCCAATGTTTCATCTAACATCAGAGATTCTGTTTCAGGCATGTCAGGCTTGGACATGTAAATGTCAAGGTAAAATAAAAAACGAATGCAAGATGCTTCTGCCCCAAACGTTTCAGAACTCACTCTCACAAATAGAAAAAAAAGCCAATGGACACCATTTTACCACCATTCGTCAACCAACAGTCACTGTATTTATCTATCCCCCACCCTAAAACACTTCAAAAAAGAGGAGTGGCTCGTTCTTAAAAGGTTATTACCAATGAAGTGCTGGGCCTTGGAAATCACCAAAGCAATCATATCACAACGAACCGTTAATGGAATTTGGTTTCCTTCGCTACTTAAACACAATCATCACATCTGCAAACGTCCCCGGTACCCACAATGCTGTGTCACCGAGAAAAGTGTTTTTCTGGAACCAAAAGAAAACTGTCAAAGAATGTCGCTAACCTGTGCCCTCGGGCTACTCCATTCCCAATAAAGGGAGCCAGAAATGTCTCTCCCTAAGCCCACGAGCAGCCGTCGGACGGGAAGCCCCCGACCGGCACAACCCAGGGAAAGGCTGCCCCCGCTGGGCTCCACCTCTGTGGCCCAGGGCTGCTTCTCACCATTTCCAGGTGAGCACCGGGGTCTTCGGGGTGTCCGCTGCCCGGGGCCGGACTGGCCCTGCCCTCCGGGGTCTTCCGTTCACTGTTGCGCTTCAGGCCGCCGGCGTCGCCTCGACCCCCGGGCTCCCGGCGCCGTCTCTGCCGGCTCCACAGGTACATGGCAC